TAATAACGTTGCTCTATTGGACTAGTTCCGCCGACGTCAATATCGTGTTGTATCCAACTGATGCTACCTATCTGCTCACACGAACACGCTGGCAGTAATTTTTCTATCTCTTAACTTTGGCTGTTTGTGACATCTTATATACCCAGGGAAGCCAATGACAAGGTTTTCTCGGTACGCAGAGATGAAAGAACCGCATTTATTTCTTTACTCTCTCCTCCGATTCGAAATAAATTCGTCTTTAGATTCAGAACAGCTGCGAAAGCGCGAATGAAGTTACCTTCGAGATTACACTCAGCATAAGTCTATTTCAAGACAAGGGCATCAACGAAATATGTTACTCCTGCGACTCTGTAAGGCGATTTTACGTTGCTTAGTATCGACGCACACAGTGACCGTCGATGGCACACGCTGCTCGACCTTGACTATAGTTTACACGGCGTTTTAGCGCCGTTGCTATCTGTAAACCTAAAGAGTTAATGATCGTGCGCGAAGCTGCAGTATCACATAGCACTCGAAATGTAAATGACCCGACGCGTACGGTCAATCAACACCTGGGATACTTTTCGACTAAGGCACTGGCTACAGTGCTTCAATAGTCCTGCGTCTGTGCATCACTCGAGCTGCTCGTGGCTAGCGCTAAACCAGGGGCAGTAGGAACCCGATCTACTTGCCCCCTTCCTTGTTTTTTCTTTTCAAACACTCCGAGCAGTCGCGCTTGTATCAGTCTGGCCAACTACAACCCCAGCACAAGAACTTCCCAGCGGGACCAGGCGTCTGATTCTTATTCTTGCTGCTCTTTGGTGTCCGAGCTTTGTTGGGTAAGCCACGTTACCACCCGCCACTTCACCCACTTTTATGTGAGTACGAAGAAGTTCCCTGTGACAATGCGTCTTCACTCCGTTTTAGCTTTTGCTGCGAGGTGCTGTTATCAGCTTGCTTCATTTCTCCAAGTGAAGAGCCTTTGCCTTGATCAAAGCTTAGCTCCTTCATTTTTTTCTCGACTACTTAAAACAACTTCTTCCAATCTGTTTCGGAATCCTTACTATATTTTTCCGTAAGAGAGACTTTTGTGCGGTTTCGTTCTAGGCTACTAGGCTACTTTTGGCAGCAAGCATTTCTCTGCAGGTAGTAAGTGGTGTAAAGTTTTCTTGGGACTCTTCGTTCTTAGCCTCTTGAGCTTTCAACACAAGGTGCTGAAGATCTGAATTTCCTTCACGGTACCTTCGTACTCTCCAACGTAGTTTCGGGAGCATGTTCTCAATAATCAGTTCGATTTGGTTCACTTATTTCATTTATTTCTGCATTTTCATTTGCGATTTCTTTTTCTAAGTTTCTAGCTGTTCAAGCTATTTTATCGCAAGTTTATTACATATCCCGTACATAACGTACAGAGTCGAGTAGGGGTGCGTTTCAAATGTATTTCCAAGAGCTTTCAAATTATATGACTCATGGATACCATTGATTGTTTTTTAATTTTTTGCAAACAATAATTCAACATTGAAAATTCGGAAAATTTTTTGATAACTTTGAAAATCTGCCAGATCTGGAAAAAAAATCTTACAAAAATTTGAGTTTGAGCATTTTTTAGCTTTTATCAAGTTCGATCTAAATCACTGGTTAAAAAATTATTTTCGTCAAAACCGACGCGCGCAAAGGCATTTTTTCCGCGAAGTGACAGTTTTGTTAAACATTTTTTATCTCCGTAAATTCTAAAAATTCAAAAAAATGTTTGTTTTTGTAAGTGGAATATTGTACTATTTTTTTTCACAGCTGGTATGCCAAAAATATTACAAACTACATCAAATTTTTTTTTCACTTATTCAATATTATTCCATAATAAATATTATGAATTTTGCAAAAAAAGAGAAAATTAATTTTTTTTTAACTTTGAAAATTGACTAATTTTGCGGCAGGGGGCCCAAAATAGGTGACCGGCAGTGTATTTTAATAAGGGGATCGCGCCATTATGTAACTACATTAGAAGTAATGTGACTAGATGTTTTCGGTAGCGTTCCTGTGTTATACGTAGATGAAAACATACTTGACATCATCAAAGTTATTGTTATTGGTGGCGTGTATGCGTTTGTTGTTATTTGTGTACGGATCCTAATTTGTTAATTCTTTCGTAGCATATGTTGAGTGCGCATTATTTGATAATATTGGGTTTGTGTTTGCTATTATCGTAAGTGACATATCTAACGGTTCTGTATTACGTGTAGAACTAACTAGTGATTCCTCTGTTCCGAAAACGTCATCGTTTTGTTTTTCTTTTAGTGTGATGTCTAAGACTGAATTAATAAAGTCATTCATAAATCCGATAGGCATGATGTCGCTTTAGATAAATGTTAGGTACAAATTATTCTCTTGTTTTTATGAAATCTTCCGCTGTATAATCTTAGATTAAGCTATTGTACAAGCGTGTCACGCGTACAAATACGAACCTTCCATACGTTCGAGTTTATCGAGCACAATATTTAACGTATCGCTAAGCAAACCGTGTATCCAGTTATAAATCTCACACGGCGTTTTCCATTGTAAGTTTGACAAATCAAAGGAGATCATCTCAAAACATAATATTTATAATATATTTTACCCTGATGATGAACAACTACAAAAAATTCTATACAACGAACGCAGTTGGCGCAAAATATAGTGTATATATACAGCCTATTATGCTTGTTAAATTTTTCAAACAAATTTGTTAATCTAAATATAATAATATAAACCTATACTTAACCGTATGCGTCAGTATATCGATATACGCAAATGAGGATCGCTACAAAATAATGGGGTATAAGAAATAAATAACCGAATTCGCTAAGGTACTACTGTGGGCAAAAAGTAAGGTGAATTTTCAATTTAAACTTCGCGGGCTTAACATTTCGGGCTAGTTCTTTTTTTCTTGAGTTGGTAGGACTGCGAATGACATCTGGGACAAATTTCATGTCAATGTCATCATCAGTAATATATTTACGCTTATGTTTACCAAACGACCAAGATTGCATGTTTCGATTTTTACAATGTCTGATTTAATTGAGCAAAGAAGTGCCATCAAATTTTGTTTGCGGAATGAAATTTCGGCTGCGGAAACGTTGAGGATGTTGCGGAAGGCCTTTGGTGATTCTACCATGTCGCAGAAAAATGTTTATAAGTGGTACAAAGACTTCAAAGAGGGTCGAGAACGTGTTGATGACTTGGAGCGCTCCGGACGACCATCGACGTCAACAGATGACCAACACGTCAATAAAGTGAAGGAATTAGTGCTCGAAAATCGTCGGTTGACTGTTAGAGACCTTACTGATATGATCGGAATATCAGAAGGATCTGTGAAAACAATTTTGAAAGACCATTTGGGCCTACGAAAAGTCAAATCTCGTTTGGTACCGAAAACGCTCAATTTCTTGCAAAAAAGTCGCCACGTTGATGTGTGTGAAACAATGCTTTCTGACTATCAGGACAAGCTCAAATGCATGATTACGGGAGATGAGACTTGGATTTATGCTTACGACCCTGAAACAACCGACCAATCAAGCGAATATCGTGCTAAAGGCGAGGCCAGACCGAAAAGAGCACGTCAAAGTCGTTCAAAAATCAAGGTCATGATGACAGTTTTCTTCGATTTTCATGGTGTGGTGCACTATGAATTCCTTCCACCCGGCCAAACTGTTAATAAGGAATATTATTTGAGCGTTATGCGTCATTTGCGTGAAGCAATTCGTCTAAAAAGACCAGAATTATGGACCAACAACTCTTGGTTTTTGCATCACGATAATGCACCATCTCACACTGCACTCGTTCTTCGTGACTATTTCGCCAAAAATTCGACGCATATCGTTCCGCAACCACCGTATTCGCCTGATTTGGCTCCGTGTGACTTCTGGCTATTCCCAAAACTCAAGAGACTACTCCGGGGAACGCGCTTCGAGTCGATTGAGGAGATAAGAGCTGAATCGAAGAAGGCGCTGATGGCTATACCGGAAATGGACTATTTGGCATGTTTCGAGGATTGGAAAAAACGTTGGCATAAGTGTATTTTATCGGGAGGGGATTACTTCGAAGGGGATGACATTGATGTAGAAGAATAAATAAAGATTTTTCATTTTACAAACAAATTCACCTTACTTTTTGCCCACAGTAGTATAAGTTGAAAAAAAGTATTTTAATCAAGTAAAATTCACAGTGTTATGAGGAAGAGAGAGAGAGCGAGAGAGAGAGAGCGAGAGAGAGAGAGAGAGTATGCCGAGCTAAGCGAGAAAGAGAACCATTAAGCTGGTACTTACAGATTGCGCGTCCACGCGAGTGACAAACTCGCGTTCGAAAGAACTCTTGTTAATAGCGTAAGTGTACCCAGATGTGAATATATCGCATAGTCTTTTTAGGCGGCACAGTCCTACACAGTAGCACGGATCACTTCTCGTAGCTGCACCCGTACATAATCGCAGTAACTGCTCACTGGCCTCTTCGTTAGTCCTTCCAACACCCTGACCTCAGACGAGTTATTAATTCGTCAAAAAAGCAGGACAATAGAAGGCTTTTATCGAAGGCCCGTGGGTTGGAACAGCTACTGCCCGATTCCGCTTGTTTGCTCTCTTGTCTTTTTATCTATGACGACCAATCAGCGCGTGCGGTTACTCGTTACAGCGCGACTATTCTTGTCTCTCTCTCTCTCTCTCTCCGCATATAAATTTTATAAATTTGTATAAAATAACAATAGGTAGTATGTGCTCGTGTACATTAAATAATAGAGAAAGGAAAGCATAACGAGTTAACAATCTGGCTTGTTATAATATGAACAAGTCAATCAAATTTCACAATCTTCATTTTAAACTAAGCCGTATCATCAATAATCGAAGTAAAATCTTGAGCCATATTATTCTATAAATGTATTTTAGAAAACGAATTTTCAGTAACAAAAAATTGAAAACAATAATAAAAAATGATATCGTGCACAAATGATAGAATGATATTTTTATATAATATCATAATATATAATAACTTACGGGTGGCTTTAGCGATAGCTCCAATAAGAACAGGAGGAATTGCCATAAGAATGCAACCAATAGCCGCTACATAACTAAGTACTTGAGCTCTTCCTGCAGATTTGGAGGATAAAACTCGTTGAAAATATACTTGCCATGGAATTCCTCCAAAAATTAATAACAGTCCATTATCCAGATAAGACCAATATTCGCTTGAATCAACTTTACCAATCCAGTCTACATCCATTCCACTTAAAGGAAGTACTTTAGGATGTGCCCAAGAAAAAGGAATACACATCCACTGAAACACGTAAAATTAATAAACTTAATATAAGGAAGAAAGAGAGGAAGAAAGAAAGAAAAAAATAATTAAATAATTATTATTGCTTTTATGATTAATAGTTAACCTAGTTTTGTCAAACGTCAGTTTTTGGTTTATATAGTAAATATACAGATTTCTGCTTGAATGAAATCAAAACTATTATCATGAAAATTGAAAATTCTTAAATACATTACATACACTGCCGTCGGACGACTTTTGCCCACTCTAGACCAAAATTAGCAAAACTTCCAAGTTTAATATCTCGGCTACAAATCATGTTACAGTCATCGATGGGGTGTTATTTTAAAGGTCTTTTATAGAGCTTTTGAACAATGTGAAATACGAGTACACATATGATTTTCCTTTTTTCATAGATTGTGACATATATAAAATCAATTTTTTCTGTTTTTTCTCTTGAACTTTAAAGCGAAAAACTAAAAACTTCTGAAAAATTACATAATCCATGTGCAAGAAAATTTTTTAAATTTGTTTTTTATGAGTTAAATATTGTTTTACAAAAAAACTGACCTATTTATAAAATTCGTTGTATCTCTGAAAGTTGTGATTATAAAAAATAACTTCAATAGAAAAAAAATGTTACATTTTTGAAGAACTAACTGCCCATTAACTTGAAATATAGAAAACGAACATTTTTTTAACAAAGAGTCACAAGTTTTCTATGAGAATTAAGAAAAAACTTTAATTTATGTATTTGTTTTGTTATGGTTTATTATTAGTATTAAAATGTAGTTAGTTGATGATCATTAGTATTAAAAAATGTAGCTAGTTTGATATCAAATTGACTTTTCAACAATTTTTGTGCATGTTTCTACTGCGACATGTTAAAAAATTAATTAAAAAATTTGTTTGACGTTAAAAAATAAGAAGAATCGACAAATTAATATAACAATTGTGTTATTTTCGTTTTTCATACATTAAACACATTTTTTTGTCTATAAAAATTATTAAAAATTAAAAAAAATGTTCGATTTTTATATTTCAAGGTAATAGACAGTTAGTCCTTGAAAACTGTAACATTTTTTTGGCTAAAGTTTTTTTTTATAATCACAACTTTCAGAGATTAACGAATTTTATAAAAAGATCAGTTTTTTGTAAAATAATATGTTGCTCATAAAAACAAGTTTAAAAAATTTTCTCGCACATGAATTTTGTAGTTTTTTAAACGAGCTTTCCAATAATATATCTATTTGTCTTGTCCGATAACTTCCCGACAAAAGCACATCGCTTTAAAGTTCAAGAGAAAAAACTGAAAAAATTGATTTTATTTATGTCACAAAACCTATAAAAAAAGGAAAATCATTTATGTATTTCATATTGTTCGAAAGCTCTATAAAATACTTTTAAAATAACATCTCATCGATTGCTGTAACATGTTTTGGAGTCGAGATATAAGATTTTGAAATTTTGCTAATTTTGGTCTAGGATGGGCAAAACTCATCCGAGGGCACTGTACATAAAATAATTCTACGATTTGAAATGCTGAATATTCGTTAATATTAATTAATAAATAATTATTCAAATATCTTGATATTCAAATTTTTTTTAATATATTTGTCAATAATATTAAACTTTTTGCAGAATATTAATAGATATAAATTAATAAATGTTTGTAGAACATTAATAAGTATATTATATATTTGGAGTGTTTCGCGTATCATCAATACAGAGCTACCTATGCAACCATGAACCTTATTTTCTATCCTCAAGATTGATTCTGCGTGCAAGCAACAATAGATAATAATGCCTTGTAATTCATCTTTTGTTCTGTTCGAAGTTCTACAGTATTTAGAGTGATTAATTGTTTTTGTTATTTTGTTAAAGTCAATTTTTTACACTTTTGATTCGCTAATTTTATATGCGCGAATCCCGTCCGACTCTACCTTCGTTACCACGTTCTGTTGTAATCTTACGTTAGAATAGGTACAACTAGCAAAGCTCACAGATAGTTCAGATATCACGTTAGGTTTCGGTACAAGCCTCTGCATAGCCCACAAATATGCTGCTTTTCAATCCCCTCTTTCTCTTTGTTTTATGTAACGTTTATCAATAACGTTTAATTACGCTAACGCACAAACTCTATTGAAATACACAAACGATCATATCTTCCTATAAGTACATAAAACAAGACTTGTGTAGACACTTATTATTGTCAATTGTTACTTGTGCAAACTTTTAGTGTACCTTTACAGATGCTGCATAAGTTTTCGGAAAATATTACGTGAATTGATACTAAAGGAAGTTGCACACCAAATACAAAAATGTAGAAAAAATTATGAAATTTAGTATATTATAAGATTTGTGCATAAAAAAGGCTTGTTTACGAGGGTCGTTTGAAAAGTCCGTGCAAATATAAAAACTGCTTGATTTCTTTTAATAAATTTTTTTTATTTTTCAACATAGTCTCCTTTTAGACTTATATACTTCCTCCAACGCTGCTTTAGTTTGTTAATCCCTTCCAAATAATAGGATTTGTCCAAGTCTGTAAAATAGGCATTCGTTTCTGCAATCACCTCCTCGTTTGAATAAAATCTTTTCCCCGCCAACCATTTTTTCATATTAGGGAACAAATAGTAGTCCGACGGAGCTAAGTCTGGAGAATAGGAGAGATGTGAAACGAGTTGGAACCCTATCTCCATCAGTTTTCCGGCCACAACTGCTGAGGCGTGAGCTGGCGCATTGTCGTGGTGGAAAAAGACTTTTTTGTGGGCCAATCGTGGACATTTCTCTAGTAACTCGGCTTTCAAACGATCCAATAACGATGAATAATATTCGCCTGTAATGGTTTTACCCTTTTCCCGATAGTCGATGAAGATTATTCCTTGCGAATCCCAAAAGACAGTCGCCATAACCTTCCCGGCTGAAGGAATTGTCTTCGCCTTTTTCGGAGCAGATTCCCCCTTGGTAACCCATTGTTTAGACTGTTCTTTGGTCTCAGAAGTGTAGTGACGTATCCATGTTTCATCTACAGTGATGAAACGACGCTTATAGTCTTGCGGATTTTGCTGGAACAGCTGCAAACCATTCTTGCAACACTTCACACGATCTCGTTTTTGGTCACTCGAGAGCAATCGCGGCAGCCATCTGGCGGATAGCTTTTTCATATCCTAATGTTGGTGCAAAATATTATGTACCCGTTCGCTCGAGATGCCTACAGTACTAGCAATCTCACGCACCTTCACTCTTCTATCAGCCATCACTATATCATGGATTTTATCAATGATTTTTGAAGTGGTAACCTCAACAGGGCGTCCAAAACGTTCAGCGTCTTTTGTGCTCATATGGCCACTCCGAAAATTTTGAAACCACTTATAAACCATTCTAATCGAAGGTGCACAATCACCATAATGTTTATCAAGCTTCTGTTTAATCTCCTGAGGCGTTTTGCCTTTGAAAAAGTAATGTTTAATCAATACACGAAATTCTTTTTCGTCCATTTTTTTACAACCACTCGATTTCTTTGATTGAAACGAATGTAAAACGCAAAGTAATTGGCCGATCTGGTTGAATCTTGGTGTGTGCTCTTCCAAGATATGCCACTAACTAAAAATAACCTTGATACGCACTAGTAGCGCCATCTCTCTGACTTTGCACGGACTTTTCAAACGACCCTCGTAAAGTTTGGGGAGATGAAGTTTGTTCTAAAACAAGATATAACAATTCGTTTTTCTATACTTAACGCGGGCTCCTACGGAAATTGGCAATATTTTATCACATTTCAGTTCATATCTCGGAAGAAAAAAAAGATATATTGAACATTTTTTTATAAAATAAAAATAGCGTTGTGACAAAATTCTCTCCTTGTCACCAATTCTTTTGCGGGGTAAGTGGGGCACTTTAGCTCACGGCAATTGAGGGAGAAAAGAGAGGGTAGGTAAATAAATAAATTATGTAGAGACAGAAATCAAATCGCATTTACAACCTATTATTATTAATACCTATTTACATAAACATACGCGCGCATAACATAATCTAAATTATTGACCAACTAACTACAAAATGGAACAGTAAACTACTTAAGATAATCACAAATGAATATTTCGCATTTCATCCTAACCAATACCTAATCGCGCACTTAACCTATTACAAATTTACTTAAAAATTACGCGAATCTATACCGGATGAATTGCCCGGCACGTGGGTGCCTAGATAATTCGCCGGACGCAATTTACACTACTACGAATTAAACTTAAGCGCGAACCTTTAGATAGCCGGCACGTGAATGCCTCGCTATCTTATTCAACGCGCACTGGTCGTCGCATCACCAGAGAGAGAGAGAGTGTAGAGAGAAAGAAGAAAAGAAGGTTTTACCTTGTTTTTTTTGTTAATGTTCCTCGCAACGTAGAGAACCTCTAACGAAGCACTGCTGCAGGGAGTGTCGGTCGTCGCTGCTGGTAATCGAGGATAAAGCTGTTGTTGGTAGAGCTGGCCTTCTTTCCTGCTTATCGGTCACGCGTCGCGCGCCTGCCTATCCCTGCATAGGCTTAATGCTCGCACTCTCTCTCTCTCTTTTTCTCACTCTCACCGCGCTCTTCAACTTTTCTGCGCCCAATTGCGCTGGCCCGTCCTTGGCGCTGAAACAAAAAGGCCAAGTGTTAGGCGCATACTTTAATGCGTCCAACGTTGGCCACCACGCCTTGTCGAGTGGAGAAGGAGAAACGCAGACGAGAAACCGACACACGGCCTGCTCTCGTCACAACGTCTGAGGATTATTTTCATATATTTAAAACATCAATTCATATCTTATGAGTTGGTGAAAAAAAATCTTTAAAAAAGTAGTTTTTTGCGAGAACTGTGTTAAGATTCTACACACTTGCCAACATCGCAAATAGAGTATAGTATACCTTAAAATGTAAACGTATATTTAGTGTAATCATGTCTGATGAGTCATTGAATTGTGATAAAAATTGCAATGAGGAAGAAAAATCCAAATTTTGTTATTGGAAAGGTAAGAGGATTTC